ATATATATATATATCCCGTCAGCACATAACATAACGCGGTCATGATGTTTGATTGCGTCACTGTAGAGTATAACAGACGCTTTAAAAGGGCCTGAGGGAAAACTGTAGGATACCAAACAGACAAGCTCACTATTACTTGGAGATTTTTAGTCTCTATATGAACTTGATATTTGTTTTGAAATTAATATTATGGTGATACACCTGAAGAGAGACTACGACTGCAACAGACAAGGTCCCGATTGATCGTCAGACTTACTCGATATCCTGCGATATGAAGTGAAACCAAAAGAACCACGGGAGGGTTAAATAAAACTACTCTAATGATACAACAAGAGCACGTTTAACATCACGGCAGGACTTCTTAGACACAACACAAAGCCCATACAGCAAGATTATAAGATGACGGTGTGAGAAAGTCACTGAACGCACTGCAAGTGTCTATAAGAACATCATTAAGACACGATGGGATTAAATAATTGTTAAATATTCTCTGTAAACCCAGCAGTGAGTCTCACAGGTACATTTCAAGTCCATATAAAGATATTAACGATGTGCAATTTAATGATACACGAGTGACTAAATAAAATAAAAAGACACAATATAAAGCTTTAAAAATTCAATATTGAGTCATGGATACAAAATGCTTTTTAATGTACAAATAAACATTAAATTTGATTATAGAAATCCCTACTGAGTACCCTGGATGCCGTTTTCAATGCTGTGAGACTATTTAGGGAATATAGTCAGTGGTGTTGCTGTGTGGCTGCAGTAAACTCACTGTCGACGCATCCAGGGGACGCACGTTGTTTTTCCGTATTTATTTGTATGTTTTGTAAATAAACATACATGACCACAATCATAACCATATAACTAAAATAAATACCAGTTAAAATGAGTCAAAAACAGTAATGTGACCGGGGAGCCATTGAAATGACCACCTGTGGGTCCTGCAGACGTCACTGTGAATACATTAAGATAGAAGTCTCTGTTATTGTGTTATCAATGTTTTTAAGGATTTCTACACTGGAGACGACACATGAGCTAGTATTATCAAGTAAGACTAAACAGTATCATTATCAATAACGCTATCTTTTCTTTTATTGGTATACAAATTACAAAGGAGAAATTATATGATAAAAGTACGACAAAATCAACACTGAGCTCTATAGACTCATTGTTATCCACTATGGGAATATTGTAGACATGTATTCAAGGAATATTATCGTAATAAAGGCATTTTCTTATGATACAAGGGACAATATAATACAAGACACAACAGAGTACTATCGACAGCACTATCGACAGTACTAGCCTCTGGACGAGTATCACAGGATTATTTGAGGGAACAGAAGACTGTAAGGTAAAATTACGATTATAGCTCCACATGTAGAATATTGGCTCTTATTAGTATTTAATAGATATTTGATGTAATATTACAGTAATACGATTCATACTCCATTAAGTCAGATAAGACGTCCACTGTGAGCCTCCAGAGAGAATTACAGGTTTATTTCTGAGCCATCACACTTGATACAATACGAGGAGGAATGTAATCAAGTAGGAATTAGACGGACAAGGTGTTCGACATTACAGGAACAATAAAAAGGAACATTAAACCGTTTTCCTGGACAACGAAGAGGAACGAGTGGAATAAAATGATAGACTATCACTACTAAGCTCTACATACACAATATAAGCCACGGGAGGTAAACTATAGATACATTCAAGGTCCTAAGAACACCATGACGATAGATAGAGTCTCCTCAGATAAGTGACAAGTACTATTTATGTACTATTATACTTCATATAACATGGGAATTGGAAAATAAAGGAAAAGAGGCTATTGAGTACTACAGACAAAGTACAAGCCAAAGAAGAACCCTAAACAGGACAAAAATAAAATCACTATTGAGACAAAATATTGGCCACTAACGTCAGATTAATAAGGATACAGATTATATTTAAATAATATTAAAGTATTACTTCAAGATGAAGAATACCAGTCAGTCAAAGAAATGATTAAGCTGGTGGTTATGTTCTTGACTAGGCTGATAATACCGTTGATAAAATCTCAATTCGACATATTTAAATGTCCTTCTTTTGAGTCCAAAACACAAAAATATTAAATGTACTACCACAGAAGACTGAGATAACCAGCAAATATCGATATTTGAGAAGCTGGAACCAGATCATTTTGGGCATTTTTGCTGACAAAAATCAACGCAGATGTATTTCCTGTCCATGAACTGATGAATCAATAGTTTGAGATATTAGTTATTATGCGTCGGTATACAAGCAGGACAAACAAAGAGATACACTACAATAAATTCATATTAATCCACAATTTAGATCATAATTGACAAGCTGGTACCAGAGAATTTTGGCATTTTTGCTTAAAAAATGATGTATTATTGCCGTTAATCAACTAATCTATGAATTGCTTTGAGCACTAGTTATAGTACTGTTATATATATATATATATATATATATATATATTTATATGTAAACAAAGACATATATACCTGTAGATAGAGATAGAAAAGCAGGAAAAACAAAGTGAGATCAAAGACTAGCTGTGAAAGATTAGCTTTGCAGACAGTTTTAGCCCCAGAATGAATATTAAACGTGTATTTAATTTAAATTATAGTGAGACCATATGACAAGTACTACCATCAAGTGAGTATACCGTATCATAAACATACCATTATGTACTATAGGAGTGTTCTATGAATCGGGTTTTTTGTGTGTGGACCAGCTGACACAGTGCTCCAGCCTAGTGGTGGAAACGAGGCAGGGCTGAGCAGGCAGGAAAATAAAAAGCCACATAATATAATATGATCTGAGCACTGAGAGGCAGTCCTCTGTCTGCAATAAGAACACACACTCACTCACTCACTCTCTCTCTCTCTCTCTCACACACACACACACACACACACACACACACACAGGAATTTAAGATGGAAACCCTTAATCTGCGCCCTGCACACGTCAGTTCTCGTGATATTTCTGTAATAATGCAGTGAGATATTTTTTTTAAACACAGTTTTCAGTACGGGAAGGAAGAGAGAGGGAGGGGGGGGGGGGGTATGACAAATATTAATAATAATAAAATGTCTCCTGCTTTAGTAAATAAATAAATAAATAAATAAAATCTCAACACACTGCTGACCTTGGGTGTATCCTGTTATTCAAAACAAGCTCACAAGTTCACCACAGGAAAGAACAAACTCTCAATACTGCAATAAATTAATATTTTAAAAAAAATAAAGAGATATTATTAAAAATATACACAACCACCGCTGGAATATTAAATATACCCTCCACACCACACATGAAGGATTCCTGTCAAAATAAAAGACGCCTTTTATTTCGATTAAAACACCACATTGCTCAAGCTGTGTGTCCTCTGGATGTTTCCTGGGTTTTTTAGGCAGCACTAATCTTCGCTATTTCAAGTACACAAACTCCTCATTTCCCTCTTTGCTGACACACAATATTAACATTCCTCCTTAAACTGCTGGTAATTACACTGGAGACAAAATGTCGGGAGGGATTTGATAATAATATCAATATGCTTCCTATTATAACCAACATTGCTTGCTGCTGCTCCACCTAGTCCCTGTCGATTTTTTTTTTCAATCTTTAATATCACACCTCGGGGGTGGAAATTAAATTTTTAAGACTCAAACGTTCAAAAATGAAAAAATGTCGACGCAGAGCTTAAAAGTTTCCTGATATTTTCACGCATGCAAAACGGCCAGAAAATGAAATGTTATTTCGCTAATGTGCTGTTAGTGTGAGTGGGGGTTGGTAACGTAGAAAGCGGAGACTGTCGACACGACACACAAAGAAATTAATCATTAACACGGAGAAAATATCAGAAATATTACACCGGAATTTAACGACCGAGTCTCCGATATAAAAACGAGGCGACCGCTCGGTGTCACACACGGTTGTTTCCCCGTAAAAACAGATATCAGCGGTTCATTTTGCTACATCTGGAGGAAGAAGAAAAAAAAAAAAGTTGCGCCTGGTTGAATAAAGTTGTAATTGCAAGTCAGACCAACTCTCGGTGAGCTGGGGTTTGGTTGATATGGGAAAACAATCAATACGACATGGTCAAACTAAATGAAATAAAACACGATATCGGACATGCATGCATAGCGACACACGGTTACAATATTCCCCGTGTCGTCAGGTTAAGAAAATCCGCCGGGTGTATGTGAGAAAAAATCGACATTTATTTGTAAATTATATCGGCTTTACCTGTATTGCATTGTGCTCCATTGCAGTCCTGCATTCCCTCTTCTGAGGCCCCTCTCCGGTTACACCGCCGGGACTCGCCGTCACACAAACAAACGCACCAGAAAGAAGAAAAAAAAAAAAAAAAAAAGAAAAAGCCTGTTTTTTTTGTGTTATTTTTTTGTGTGTGTGTGTGGAAATGGGACAGGATCTAGGTGTGGCCAAAGTTTGCCACAGAGTACATTACAACTTAATGTTAAAGTCACAGGGAAACGGCAGTTGAAGCATCTTTAGCAGTGTGACGTGTTTCCGCGTGACGCGGCACACGTGGGCGGGGTTTAGATTGAGCGAGGGGTTTTAAATCAAATCCGACAAAAAAAATCATTAAATTGCAACAAAAGAGACAATCATTTTGTCGTGTAGAGTGTATTGTAACCACGGAGAGACATGCAGCTGTTTTCTGGAATAACTTTTATATTTTTATCAACAGCCACATGAAATGATAATGGTATTCCTCACTGAGATAGTGAAGTACAAAGTGAGATGCATAGAAAAGACAAGTAAAGATACATACAATACAAGTACCTCAAATGTGTACTTAAGTTTAGTATGTTACCTGATAAAATAGACATTATCCACTTTTCAAACATATAATTTATACTGAAATAACCAGAAAATATTCACAATTGAGAAGCTGGAACCAGAAGTTTTTTTTTTAAGAATTACTAATTGAAAGTCAAAATCTACTAATCAATTAAATCCTTTGAGCTCAAATAAAAGGCAGTTGCCATGTAAAAGAAGCCAGTCACAAAACGCTTCCTTGTTGCTGAATTCAACCAAAGTTTAACCCAAAATGAAACGTTTTCTGATTCATGCTGCAGATTTTAAAATAGATTTTCTCAACAGGCTTATCTTTCCCCTCCGGCTGTTCGCTCCGCCCATGACAGAGTTTTAAGATCACTGATTGGATGTTTCTTGCCAAAATGGACCATGGGAGTTGTAGTTAACTTCTTCCCCTTAATTGCCATGTGCACACATTTCTACTTTTTATCAAAGAACCAGACACGTTCTGGCGCAATTGTTCATATTTTTGGACGGACTGGGAGAGTTTAAAGTTTGTATTTAGATATTTTACTTAAGTAAAAGTACAAATACTCTGCCACAAGTAATTCTTTTGAGAAATATTGAATAATTTTACCTCTTTGGGCCTCAAACAGTTATTTAAATGAAACCATGTGAGAAGTTTATGGTGAAGTGTCTCTTTAGTGGAAAACAATCATCCCAATTATTGCATAAATAGAAAAAGTATTAATTAAAGTACCTCAAGTGCAGTATTTCAGTTAAGTTACTTTCCAGCACAAAAGCATTTTATTGTTGCAGTAAATATAGTTTGACATTATCAGGCCTTAAAGTGAGTTAATCTGATAATGGAAAATCACACTTATATTGAACTACTCAGATGTTCACAATTCATAAAAATACAGTCTGGGGTCGCAGGCAGAGATAATCAATCACTTTTGGAATTACTCGTCTGGTACGAAGATGAAACTGATTACCACAAAGTCTCAATTTATTTATCTTAACACTAAAGTTAAACATGCAACATATGTAAATATATAGCAAACAGCTTCGTTGGAAGGCAGCTTTGACACAGCTAGGCTAGCAGTTCTCCCCTGCTTCCAGTGTTTGTGCTAAGCTAAGCTAACTACATCCTGGACACAATGATATTGGCCTTCTCTCCAAAGACCCGGTAAGAAAAAAGCAGAGCTATATTATCATATTATGTGAATATTTTGACTGATGCTTTAAAAGGCGCAATATACGAGATTCACAGCATCATAAATACATAAAGCAGCAAACAGCTATTTGCTCAAACGGCCCATCCTCCGGTTCCCCCTCAGGTAAACACTGTTAGCATTGTTAGCTTCGAGCTGCAGGCTCAGCTGTGGCCATGTTGAGAGCCATTTAGAGGCAATAGAAATGCTCAGAATCTCGTGTCTGGCACCTTTAACGCATAAGTATTTCAATGTTACAGATGGTGGAGGTGGAGCTCTTTTACATGTTCTGTCTGCACAGGTTTCCTCCCTAAAGTTTGGACACTTGAACTTCTTTTAGGGTTAAAATATCAGGATTCTGCTCCCTACACCACAGGAGGAAATTATATAAATATAAAATATATATATATCTATGATCAGTGTACACACACACACACTGTTAAATCAAGCCTTCATGGTGCAAATATTGGAAGTGAAATAAGAGAGCAGCCTCTTTAGCTGACGTGATGAACAGCTCGGTCGGCTGATTTCGTAGAGAAACGTGATCACACTCTCAGGACTCAAGTAGGCCTATCCTGGTGTGAGCATATTAAAACTGCTGTTGCTGGTTCTCTCCAGCAGGGGGAGGAAGCACGTGTCTGACTTAAACTCCCCCCCCCCCTCCTCTCCATGAGGCTGCAGCATGACATTCATGTAGTGGCAGGCCTCACATAAAACGCTCACATCAGGCTTTGTGCTCACGAAAATGAGCTGTAATTATTGCAGTCTCATGCTCACTCTGCTCTGCTTTGTTTTACAGATTAATATTTGTTTATGATTGTGTTTAATCCGAAGGTCAAAATAAACAGAGGCTCCTGGCAAACAAAAAGGAGTGAGCTGTTATTAAAGTAGATGTCAGGCTTGTAAATGAATGTTTCCCCTCACACTCTCTATGAAATATGGCGTTAACACAATGGGACTTCTATAGTTTCAGGTTGATTTTCAGTGGAGGGAGAAGTATTCAGGACATTTACACGAAGTAGCATAAAATGTAAATACCACAGGCCTGAATAGCCTTAAGTACTTAAGTACAGTATTTATATGTGCTTAGTTATTTTCTATCCCTGCCATTTCTACGGTAAATAATCAAGTACAGAAACAGTACTTACGTACAGTACTTAAGTAAATGTACTTAGTTGCCTTCCATTTTCTGTGTGAGTTTACTACTTGTGTAAAAAGTATGAATACCACACTTTGAAAATACTCCACTACAAGACAAAATCCTGCATTCAAGTACATATTGTGCAATACAATGTGTCTCTGTCAGTGTTTCACAATTATATATGATGTTTCTAGATCAACATTACTGGTGCAATAATCTGAATGTTGCATTTTCATTTGTTAGCTAGCTTAATCTACAGCAATGCATCGTAATGTTGCTGTCCTGTGAGAACCATGGAGGTCTAAAAAGTAACACAGCCCTGTTTTCAACTTTGTGACGATGCCTTTTCCAGCTGATCCAAGATGCTTTATGAATAGTTTGTTTAGCTTAAGAAGTAGGAGGATTTCTTCAACACTTAGAACACTTCATCCTTCAGTTTATCACAAACATTCAACATCAACACATCTGGAGGTACGTGGTTTTCACTGGACAGGAAGGGGATGCAAAAAATGATCTGAAAAGTAACTAAAGCTGCAGAGAAATGGAGTAAAAAGTACAATATTTACCTCTGAGATGTAGTGGATTAGAAGTAAAAAGTAGCTTAAAATGGATAACCGCTATAGTGAAGTACATGGAACACACAATTGTATAGATGGTACAGTACCTAGTTACTCTCCGCCACTGGAATTACATTTATATATTTTGGACAAAACACTTGAAGTTGAAAGACACAAACTTTTACACATGGCATTACACGGTGTGTGTGCATTAATAAATACCATGCCACATCTCTGACCGTAGTGCTGCAGTACTGAGACGAGCAGCTCAGTGACCCTTTGCTTTCATCCCCATATCAGCAGCCGTGTGGCAGGAACAGGCTGCAGCAGCAGCAGCACATCAGGCTGCAGCAACATTTTGTCCTCCGCAGCAACACAGTTGTAGAGGCTTCACTGCTGATTAAATTAGTCATTCTGCAGTGAAGCATACTGATGACATTTCTCCCAAGAAATAAAATAGCACAGTGAAACACCTTAGATGTTATAAAATGTATAAAATCTGATGAATAATTTTTGTCTTCTTTAGTTTAATATTAGATCAATATTAATGGACTTGCTTCTTGTGCCTTTACAGATTCTACCAGGATTTAAGGATGAAAATGGATTCCAAGCCAAGTTATTTAATCATGCTCATGGTATTTAATAATGCAGTTGCTGGTGGGACAGGCCATAACTAAGTTGATGTAGAAATCAGAAGACTGGGAAGTCTTAATGTACTAATTGGACTTCATAATTACATGATATGCCTAATGTCTGGCACAGTGCAATACATCTTTTTCACTTAAAAATTATAATTTTATTAATTTTGCAAAATTTACTGCAATTTGCACACTTGTATGCATTTTACTTTCATGTTAGCATTTGTGTTTAACATTTGGTTTTGCAGTGTTTGTGTGGTTTGTTCTTGTAGTGCTGCTGTGAGACATGCGGATATCCCCCCAGGGATAAAGGTAAGTATAAGTAATGATGTACGTATGTAATTAATGGAGAAAGTAAGTAACTAAGTAAAGAGGTAAGTAAATAAGTAATAAAGTAAGTAAAGAACAAATAATAATACAGTAAGTTTAGTATAGCATATGTTTTTCGACATACTTAATGGCTTTTTTATGACTTTTCTGGACATACTTCCTTCCATCCTTCCATCTTGAGAACTTTTTTATGAACATTCATGTACCACACTTCGGTTCATTGAAAACCGACTTTATTAATATTAATCTTAATCATCCTGTGCAAGAACAAACAAACAAAGTAATACCAGCAGTAGCGGTGTTAAAAGGACAGTTCAGTTTCTGGCATTTATTATCTGGAACATTGAGAGGTGAGTGTTGAGGACAGAGATCTGGCAACACTGTTAAAGATACTGTTGGGATAGTTTGCTGCCACTGCACGGCATGCAAGGAAATGTACAGAAAACATTTCTTTTTGAACTTGGTTTTGCTGGTTGATGACCGCTTGTCTGTTACTGCTTATCAGCAATCACCAGACTGAACTTCGACACTGATATAAAAGTGCATTCAGCTGCAGTTCTGCTAACAGCCACTGGAAGGCAACTCCCAAAAAAACATCTCTGGCTGTATTCAGTTTCTTGGATAATCATCTTATTCTCGAAACAAAAACATTGTCAGTTATTGTTCTCCACATGAATTCAAACTCTTTAACTGTGTTTAACTGCAAATTAAACACAAATGTACTAATAACAAGATAGAGCATTAAAGCTGCAGAACAGGTTTTAAACAAGGACATTTATTGGCTGTAAACAATGACGTGAACACCATTAACTCTGTCATCACTTCCGCTGTAGTTTGCACTGTTGGCACCGTTATCACCAATTAGCTACGAGCTGCTGGCTAGCTGCCGCCATGTTGAGAGCCGCTGAGAGGCAAATGAAATGCTCCCAATCTCGGATCATGCACCTTTAAAACCATCCATCAGCATCACTACAGACAAACAAGTCGTACTGCCTTATGTTAGAAAAATGTCCCTTTATTTCACCTTTCAAACAAAAACAGTGAGATTTTTAGCAACTTGAGAAAACCTATATATATATATATATATATAGACATACATATATATACACGTACTGTATATACTGTATATACACATCTGTTCAAGACTCCAGGTGTGACGAACTGTAATTAAAGCTGCTGTGAATTTACCTACACAAAAAAGTGTCCCTGTGTATCACTGCAACAGGAAGCTGGACGGAGCAGCAGTAACTTCTTAAAGCAGAAGAAAAGAGGAGCAATGGGCAGTAACAGACTTAAAGTCCACAGCCACCACGCGGCTTGTTTTGTTCACTACAGTGCAGAAAACAAAACCACTGAATGGACGTAACAGCACTAAAAAGCTTTGCATTGTGCCGACAGTAAAAAGCGGCTTCCTCTTCCCTCAGAATACAAGAACATTGGTCGACTGCTGCTCTTATGCAGCAATATGTCCATGCTCTGATTGGCCCGTTTGGAATCCATCTTTCTTTTCTTTCTTTAAAAAGTGCAAATTCCTCAAAGAGTGCAAACCCAAGAAAAACAATAACACATTACCACTCACCCTAAAATCTATAATTCTTAGCTTATACACATATTTTCTGTATTTTATGTCCTCTAATGTCTCTGTAGCTGCTTAAAAAAGTTAAAAACTAACTGTGAAAAAGAGATTTTCAGTTGTAAGAACCTATATCTGCCTTCTAGAAGTATGCAAAACTGATCTTTTTCTATTTTTAGATTATTTCCTTTTTTTCTCTCTTTGGCTTAAAGGTGCACTGTGGAGTTTTCTAACAAATGTGTTGAATGCATTTCCTTCCACATCCTGCATTGTTTACATCCACGTTTACTAGTTTACTTTGCTGAGCACCATAGAGATAGAAGACGAGTAGAACGGACATGAACAAAACAGAAAGAAATGAAAAAAGTAACAAGTTTGACTCACTTATGTATAACGTTAACAACTTGTTTTGATGAGATGTGAATACCGGCTTTTAAAAAACTGAAAATATAGTTGTGCACCATCTGTATCCCCCTCTCTCTATTGGCCTTCCTCCTCCTCCTCCTCTTCGTCGTCCTCACCGTCGCTCTCCTCCAAAAGGCGGGATTGGTGAGCCAGCCGCTGTGCCACGGCCGTTACCATGGCAGCGCCCTTCCCGCTGCCGTCCTCCGAGACAAGGAAGGTGATGTCACATTCGGGGGCGAGGAGGCGCACCGTCGCCCGGAGCTCCTCGCTGAAACTACGGGAGGGGGGGAGGAGAGAGGAGAGGAGGAAGGAGAGAGGAGGGGAGGAGAGTGAATGGGAAGACAAGAGACTAGAATATAGTGGACACTGTCGTGAGAAAGTGTCTTCTACAGAAATGTTTTGTTAAAATGATGCTGACGCTAAGGAGTGAATGGGACTTTTAAACAGTGAGATGCTTTGATTTGTGACATTCTCACAAAGACAGGAAGTGTGTTCACACACACATAAATATATGATTTCATATCTCCACAAAACTGATCGTCCTCCTGGTTCATTTGCTTGGTGGGTGTTTTCCTCTCATCACCTCAACTCAATGATAGTTTGACTTTTTTGGGAAAACCAAAAAAATACTAAAAATGTATGGAAAAAAACATACCTTGTGATGAATTTTTGAACTTTTACATTTTTCTTGCCAATGTTTCATTTCACGGTGTCTGTATTTTTCTCATAGTGCTTCTTACGTGGGGTGTTTTCTGTAGACCGTCCCGTCCACCCCAACAGTGGTCTTCAGACGGTCTAGCCGGCGGTTGACCCGGATACGGTTGGCGAGGGTTGCCAGGGCAGCGCCGCACAGACGAGCGGAGCGCGAGGAGACCGCGTCGCAAACCAGACGCACCACGCAGGAGTCGACCAAATCCCACTTCAATCCCAACTTGGTCAGAATGTTCTGCGTGTTTTCCAGACCGTCGTCCTGCCTGAACCACAGACACAGACGGGAAGTAAAGACGCACAGATTAGTGTTCAACTTTGCCGTCTGTTGTCGTGTAAAATGTTCTGAAATTGGTGTAAATCTATAATATTCTGTCTCAAATAAAAGCCTGGTTGTTTCTTAAAGTAAGGGAAATAAATCGCACCAAAAGATATGAAACAAGTTTAAAATGACTGAATATCTCATTAAAGAAATAACTGAATCCAGATCAGAAGGTTTATGACTCCAGATGACAAAGACAACGTGGATGATTGAATTAAATAGATTTATCGGACACTCACTCCTCAATTTCAGAGATGAACTTTGTCTGAAATGCCTCCGGGGTCAGCAGCGCCTCCGATGTCTGTCCCTTAAACAGCAGCTTGTCCTCCGTCAGCCTCACCAGCAGAAGCCGAACGATTTCTCCCAAATACATGCCGCTGATCATCTTCTCAAAGCTTCACAGGAAAACAAGCACAGAAAGAGAGAAAAAAAACATCTATCAGTCATCAGAAAATGGGTAAAAACCACATACAATTAAAAAAGAAGTAAAGATTTGATTTCAAACAGCATGCTCTTTTGCGTTTTCTCCTCATTTGTTGATTTTGCAGTTCAAAACCCAAAGATTTTAAATTGAGAGAAAAAGCAGTGAATCATCACTCATGTGAGAAGCTGGAAGCAGACAATTATTTGGTATCTGTTCTTGACAAATAACGGTTGATGTATATTTAAAACTTCTTCTAAATTTTCTGTTGTTCGACTAATTCTGTTTCAGGACTGAAAACAGTTTGACCTGTCGGACTCACGTGTGGACGCCGGGGTTGATGGACGTCTCGTCCACCACGATGTCAAACTCCGTCAGGATGTCTTTGAGGGAGCCGTCGTCTCCGAAGCCGCCCCACTCTGTGTTGATGCACATCCGCCCATCCTCGCCCTCCACACGCTTCACGTTCTTCATCTCCTCCATGTAGCAGGCGTTGGTTCCCGTACCTAAAGAGAGAAGAGAAGAGAAGAGAAGCACCATGGCGGATTGAAAAAAAACCACACAGCCGGCATTCATTACAACACACATAATCTGAGGGTGTGGTCACTCCTGAGACTTAAGTAGTTTGAAGCGTGGAATAATAACACTGGAATTCTGCAACATGTTAACGATTTTCTTTGGTCTCATTATTTTCTGAATAGATTCAATTAAACAATTTTCCTTATCACAAATAAACCCAGATTTTTGGATGTTGCAACATCAAATTTGGGTGAGGTTTATTAAAAGTCATCTGCTGTGTTGACTCCTCTGAATTTTAATCCAGCCCCATCCTCAGCTCCACTCATCCAGTGGAATATCTCAAGATTAAACGTATTGAAGAGGGCTTAGCTGCTTTTTAGGCCCGGGGTCCAACTGGAAAATTAACTATTTAATCAATCAATCTTTACTGTCCCCAAGGAGGCAATTTTTAGTTGTCTTATTATTATTCATTAGAATTCAATTCTTGCATTTTGCAGTCTTGTGAGTATGATGGTTATTAATTTATGTTATTTAATTCAGGAGACGGTGTGCATTGGGATCTGCCGCAGTGATTTAAAGGAACAGTATGTAGGAGTTAGTGGCAAATAAAATATTCACAAATATCTCTTCATTAGTGTACAATCACATGAAACTAAGAACTTTTGTGTTTCTGTCACCATAGAATGAGCCATTTTATATCTATAAACAAAAACACGCTAGCTCTAGGGAGAGCGTTTCGTGTTTTTCCATTACCTGAAGGCCACTGTGTTTCTCCAACACGCTTGGAAAGGGAGGAGTGAGCGGAGGAGTATTCAGCTGGATGCAATCTACAACCTCACCACCAGATGCCACTAAATCCTACACACTGCTCCTTTAAGGGATTTGGAGATATTGCGGCTGATTGTACGTTAACGTCAAACACACCACAACCAAACCTTCCTGCTTTGTCTGACACACACACACACACACACACACACACACACACACACACACACACACACACACACACACAGGGGGTTGGTGTAATCATTTCCTGAGAGAAAACCGTTTGCTTCATATTGCAGCGCACAAACTAATTAGAGCGAAGAAAGGAGCTACAACACGACCCTCATTATATCTAATAATGCTTCTCCTGTTCACCAGGTGCAACACATTATGTCTCTGAGGTATAAAATAGTGTGTTCTGTAAGGCTCAGTAACATCCTCCTGGGTAATGTGGGTTTCAAACAATACCAGTTACTGCACCACCAGGGCTTATGGGAAATGGTGTTTGTTAATATATACTATACACTGAGTGCTTCCTTGTCATGCTACATTATACTTCTACTTCACTACATTCTGGGGGCCAATATTGTACTTTTTACTCCACTACATTCATATGACAACATTAGTTACTTAGAAAATATGAATACTAAATATAATCAACTAATAAATCCTGATATTAAAATAAGCTCCACCTGAAGTGATGAACACATTAATGCATCAATAATATCCCAGTACAGTACTTTAGTAAAATCAGCAATACTACAGTGTAGAAATACTCTGTTACAAGCACTAGAAAACTTAAGTATTAGAATCAAAACATACTTAAAGTACCAACATTTTAATGTACAACTTTAAAATTATACTTATACTTGAAATGAACGCATTAAAATGTTGGTACTTTAAGTATATTTTGATACTTATACTGACATATTTATACTTTGAAAAAGTTTTCTAGTGCTGTACTTTACTGATTGTATTCATACAATGTAGTATTGCTAATTTTAAAATAATATTTAAAATAAAATCCCAAATATTTTTTGAGAAATCCAGTGAAACACTATTTTGCTGTCAGGTTCATCTGAGGACATGGTGACGTTGTTTACTTGTTAAAATAAACGGTTACCTATGATCATGCCGATCTCACAGCTCTGGTCTCTGTAGCCGCAGCTCATCATCGTGCCCACTGTGTCGTTCACCATGGCAACTGAGCCTATATCATAGTCCTGCAGAGAGAGAGAGAGAGAGAGAGAGAGAGAGAGAGAGAGAGAG